TGCTTGGTTGCTGGAAGATTGCTCCAGGAACCAGGGCTGAAATTTGGCTTCCCAAGGTAGGCTCCATGGTTTGGGTGCCTAAAGTGAGCCCACTACTGTCTCCTTCTCCAAGACCAACACCAAAAATCCCCCTGAACACCACATGGCTCTTGTTCTAAGGAAAAATGAGAGTGGTCAGGAGACCTGGCATAGTCCCACACTCTGAGCGCTCCATTCTTCCCAGGATTGGCTCTGGGGATGGGGACAGGGCCTGGTGTCAGGGCATTCTCTTCCACAGATTGGCAGACCCTGTGAACAGAGGCTGTGTCTAGAGGCCAGGAATGCTGCTGAGTGGAATGTGAGTGAATGGGTCCTTTCAGCCACCCTCTGGGACCCAAACCCAGTTTCCCGGAGCTCCTGAATGAACATCTGTCCTGGCTCACTGAGCTGCAGAAGGCTCATTGACCATGTAGCCTTGTAGCTATCAGCGGCCACAGGCCCGGCCTGTGGCCCAGCACTGTGCAGTTTGTTAGGACCTGCAGCATGTAGGCAGTGCCTTGCTTGCATAGCTTTTCTGATTCTCAACTGCAGTCCTCTGAGGATTATTACCTCGCCCAGTTTTTTAAATGAGGTGGGTACCCAAGGTCATGTAGCCAGTGAGGCTTTGGAAGGCCAAAGGAGCTCTTCCATTCCTGGTGACTACTCTGTCCTCACTGCTACATCAGACCGGACTGTGAAATGGGGAGAAATGTTCCTTTTGTGGGACTTCAGTGAAAATTGGACACAACTTGATGTTTTCAGAGTCACTATAATTTTAAAGACTTGCATGACAGGGCTCTGGGAGTCAATAGACATTAAGGAATTTCACATTCAATTCCACCAGCTACTTGAAATGAGCCCTTGTCATGTAGCCCAGAGGAGCCCATTAATGATTAGACCCATTTCACTTTCTAAAGTTATATACAAGTCATATTAGAGAATATAAACAAAGGTTAGATTAGGTTATGTTGGGCTATATACTTGAAATATGCAGTATACTCTGATTATATATAGCAATCCTTGTATGTAATATTTCATTTATCCCCTTTAAAATCAAAATTCAAAAATCAAAAGGATAAGTACAATATAGCTCATGCTTTTCAAGGTTTACATACTAGTATATAAGATTTTTAGGAGCTTTTTTTAAAAGAAAAGTGAAATGTAAGATTTTGAAGTTAAGATCATGAACTATCTGATTTGGGGATTTGCTCTTTATTCTACATTGTTGCATTTTAAAAAGTATAAGTGAATAATTCTGGGTACTCCTTAGGGGTGTAATCCATGAAGCAGGATGGGATACACTCCTATCCTTAGATCATTACAGAGAAGTTACTGTTGTCTTAAGCTGAGTTTAGTCAAGCCAGTCACTGTGTCCTATCCCTGGTCTGTGGCGAGCGCATTAGGGGTGGGCATGTGTCCTAGTATAAACAGATGATGGAGGAAGGAACTCAGCTTCTCCACCATTAAGCGATAACTACCAGGAGAATCAACTGTTGTATGGATAGGTGGCGGAAGGATGCAAGCCTGGAGCTGCTAGGAGGAGCTCTATATTGAGGATGAAGCAACCTCAGGAAAGAGGACAGAGAAAAGAAGAAAAAAGGAAAATGAGACTCGTATCCCTGGTGACCACCTCTGGATCAAACTTCCTGAAGCTTATTTACCTATTTAATTTTTAAAACTGGAATCCACTAAATGGCAGTTTTAGATTAAGCCCCTTTGAGTTGTGTTCTTCACCACTTGGACCAAAGGATTCTTAACGTATCTTCAGTGTAGAGAGAAAAAAGCTATAGTTTGTCCACTCTTCATAGGCTGCTAGCCACCAGCTGTCTACCTTTTGAACCTCAGCTCTGTTTTCATTACAGATAAAGGCTCTGACATCTGAACACCTACTCATGACCAATGCTGATAGATGTCCTGAGCACATGGCAAACTCCACATTCCAGGATCTGGGAGAGGGGACTGCAAGGGGGCCTGTGAGCACTTCAGGCTAAATTTTCAGGAATGACCCCCAGGAGGAGGAGAATGCAGGTTTTCAACACATTCCTATAGTCCTGTCCAAACATTTCTCATCCTCAGAAGAACATCTACAGTAGCCAGTGTACTAGGATGTTTCACGGCATTGCCAAAGGCCTCTTATTTTGTACTCCAGTGAACCACTGATTGTGGAGGGCATTCCTTTGGGTCATTCATTCATTAACTCTTCCTCTTGCTTATTCACATCATTCTGAGCCTGCTTCTCTTTACGGGGCTTTGCATTCTCTGCCCTGCTTCTTACACCCTCTTCTCCCAGATTCCCATAAATAAGCTTCCTCGTTTCCATCTACTTCCCCCCACCAAACCCACCCCAGACCCCAGTATTCTTTATATATTATCCTGTTTTATTTTTTCATACTGCCTGACCAGTGATCTCTACTTTTTCATGTTCCCCCATTTCTTCCACTGGAATGTAAACTCTGTTGGACCCAGACTTCATCTCTTGTTCACTAAATACCAGGTAAGTTAAAGAGCTCTGGAGTTTGAAGTAAAACATTTATTGAGTGTTTGCCATGTGCTGGAGGCTTCAGAGACAGCTCATTCACTCTTCACCAGGTAAATACAGTCCTATTTTTTAGAAGAGGAAATAGGTTCTGAGAAATTAAGCAGTTTTGCACAAGAACATCAGTTGTTGAGGGGCACAGCCATGAAGTGAAGTGTTCCAAGCCATGTGCCACTGGTTAAGTTAGGTAAACTCTCCTGCCGCAGTCACAGACTGGTGGGCATCACTTGGTGAATTTGTAAATGCTGTGCAAGCCACAAATGCCACCACCCCTGGCTTCCATTTACTGGGTATTAGCACATACCACACAAGTCTCTGAACAACTCTGAAATGAGTAGGTATTTTTTCAGTATGTCCATTTTGCAGATGAGGAAATGGGCTTAGAAGTGATTGCTCAAGATCACAAAGTGACAACAGAAATTTGAATCCTGGATGGTCTTATGTAAGAAAATTAGGTCAAAAGCTGGGACATCAAGGCTATAACTTGAGAAACATCTATCCAGTCTCCTAAAAATGGACACTCAGGTGCTCTAACCTGCCTCGCACTCCTACGCCAAGTACACCTGGGATGAAATCACTGTCCATGTGCCCTTACAGAGCTCCATGTTTGGGTTATGACCTTACTACCATAATTAGGGAATCAAAGGATTGTAGATACTTTGCCAGGCCTGGGGCTTCACGTCTGCTACAGAGTGGCTGGCTCCTCTCCCTTCCCTGGGATAGGCCTAGACCCCTCATTCATAACCCACTCTGCACCTCTGGGACTAAAAGAATCCACCGCTCTGGAGCCACTGGAAAGGAAGAACATTCTCCCAGACTGGGAGTTTAAACCAAAATAGCTGTGCCTACTCCCATGTCTGCTGTTGACCTGTTTATGGGAAAGCCAGGAGCCTATGGAATGTGAAGTCTGCAACAGTGAAGTCTTCAAGAATGTCTGGGCCACGTGGCATCAAGGAAATGGCTGGTGAAATCACTCAAGGTTTAAGACTTTAGTCATGCCTCGAGTCCCTTAGCAACCTGTTGCAGGCCCTGCAACTCAGGCCTAACTCCTGTCCTTTCCCCTTTCTGGGTCTGTCTGCCCAACAGGTCTACTGGGGAGTGTCAAATGACATGGTTGTGACTTACAAATAAAGTGCTGGACTTAGGAGCTGTCTATGGCCTCCAAGAGTTGATAAACTCGGGTCAGAAGTAGGCTGCTGGGAGCTAAGTCCTATATAGATAAAATTGACCCATGTCTTCCAATATAAACTGTTGGTAGGAGCTAGGTTCAAATCTTACTGCTACAGGCTAGTTCCAGGACTTTAGCCAGCTAACTTCACTTCCCTGCACCTCAGTTTCCTTAACTATAAAATGGGACTTCTAATAGTATCTACCTTTGTTGCTAAAAGAGTGCAAGAGACTGACCAATTTGGAAAACAGTTTGTCAGTTCCTCAAAAAGTTAATTACTCTGTGACCCAGAAATTCCCATTCCTAGGTATCTACCCAGGAGAAACAAGTATATGTTCACACAAAGGCTTTACCCAAGTGTTTATAGCAGCGTTATTCATAATAGCTGCAAAGTGGAAACAACCCAAACGACCATCACTGATGAATGGATAAACAATATTCCATATGATGGAATAATATTCAGCCATTAAAAGAAATGAAGTACTGATACATGCTGCAACATGGATGAACCTTAGAAACACTAAATGGAAGCAGCTAGCTGCAAAGGCCACATATGATTCCATTATATGACTAACGAAAAGGCAAATCTATGGAGACAAGATTAGTGGTTGCCAGGGACTGGGGGAAGAAGGATGGGAAGTGACTGGTAATGGATAGGAATTTATTTTCAGCGTGACGATAATGTTAAAAAATTAGGCAATGGTTTCATAAAAGATGGACTCCAGACTCCACGCCTGTAGAACTGTAAATATGCTTAAACCATTGAATTATACGTTTTAAACGGGTATTTTTATGACGTTGATTATGTCTCAAAGCTGAGGAGAATGATTCAAGAGAAAGAAGTTGGGGCAGCGAGTGGCTCAGTAAACTTGGTCATTAATTAGGTATTCCACAAGTTAAAGCCCCAGAAACAGTGAGCAGAAGAAAGGGTCCGCTGAAGGAGCTCAGCCTGAGCCTTTAAAGCCGCTGAGTATCCCTGGGCAAGTCCCTGGAACCACCCTGGGTCTCCCAAAGCTGCTCAAATGAATGTGAGAAACAATCCCCACCCACGTCCCTCGCCCTCCGGTCTTGCTTGGAGCTGGTGTTCAGGAGGCAGATGCGGAATCCCCAGCGGACGCCCTTGGTCTTTGCTGGAGCAGAGCTGCAGGTGGCAGGCCGGCTAGGGGCCAACCCGGAAATGCCCGAGTTGCTGGTTCAGGTGAACTCTCTTGATTGGCAGCCCGGAGAGGAGGGCTCCGGGTGCCTGCTGCCCCGCCCCGTCACGTCGGGCCGGTTGGCGCCACCCTGGGGAAGATGGGCGGGCCCTGGGGTTCGTGGAGCCCATTGGGCGTGGGGCGAAGCTCCCTGGAGGGCCTTGGGCCCCGCCCTCAGCCTTGCGGCGGCCAATGGGTGCGGTGCGCGGGCGGGGCATCGGTGGCGTCGGCGGTGGCCCGGCGGCTGAGGTGGCGGAGGTGGCCGCTCAGGCTGAGGCGGCGGGCGCGGCCGGGATGGCGAGGAGCCTCGGAGAGAACGGGCCGCGCACGCCCGCGGCCGAGGAGGGCTTGTCGGAGACCCGGGAGAGCCTGGCTCCGGGCCCCGACGCCGCAGCCGCCGACGAGCTCAGCTCTCTCGGCTCCGACTCAGAGGCCAACGGCTTCGCTGAGCGCCGCATCGACAAGTTTGGCTTCATCGTGGGCTCGCAGGGCGCCGAGGGCGCGTGAGTAGCGCCGGGGCTCGGGGCCGGAGCCCGGGCGGGGGCCCGCGGCATGGGGGCCTCGACACGGACAGGGCCACCCTTCCCGACCGGGGACAACGACTCCTCCTCTCCCCCGCCCCGCCCCCACCTCCCCTCCCAGGCAGATGACCAGACCCTCGCCTGCATTTCTGACCTAGGGACAGACAGGCCAACCCCACCTCCTCCCTGCCCCCAACCCGGACAGGCCGACCCGCCCCCAGGAAGGGGACAGAACGACAGACACCTGTCCCAGCCCTGCTTTTCCTGCGCCCCGGGGCTGACTGACTTTGCCCCCGACAGGCTCACAGATGGCTGCCCCTCCCCCAACAGACAGATGCTCTCCGTACTCCATCCCCCAGGCGTGGACACCCCCACCCCACCACCCCCACACCAGGGGGACACCTTAAGCAGACTTCAGAAGGACAGACTGCCCTGCCCCCACCCCACTCTAGGACTGACATTGGTCAGCTTCCTCACAGACATGGCCCACGCTGGCGCAGAAAGACCCTGCCCCTCGTGGGGAGTCAGAGAGTGCTCCCCTCCCTCAGAGGCAGCTTTCTTGCTGTCACTGGCAACAGGTAGGCAGACACTCCCCTTTCCCAGTACACAGAGGGTGACAGTGCCTCCCCTCCAGAGAAACTGTTGTCTCCATGTATGCTGTGGGAACATCACCTCCTCCCAAAACACAGATGTGGGGGGCAGGCAGGAAGACAGCAGAGCCCCTCCTCATAGCACACCCAGATCCCCCACCCGCAGAGCACCCAGGCACCCAGCTGGCAGGCAGGTAAGTGTGAGGTGATGGAGCAGCACCTTCCCCGCAAGCTGGGTAAACTGGGCAGCCATACTCTGCTGCACAGAACTCCCTGAGCCCATACACACAGAGCTCGTATGTGTGGGCTGGTAGTCTCTTTCGGGAAGATGGACCCCAGACCCCATGCCCATCCCATCCGTCCTGTCACATGGTACCAGTGTTCTGCACAGAACTGACAAGCCTCCCTTGTGATGTGCCTCCCCTTCAACAGACAGCCCCATACAATCATCTGTGGAGGCCCAGAGACTCAGCCATGACCCTACTCCAGCGGCCCTTTCCTCTCCTTCTCTGACCAGTTGTGACTGTCCAAGGCTCCTGCAGCCCCTCTTGTGGCTTATGTGCCTTCACCGTCTGTAAGAACCCCGCCCCACACAAACAGCCCTTTAAAAGTCACTTCCGGGATTTTCCCCAGTCCCAAGCCTCATATTCACTAGGCCTCCTCCTCCTTTGGACAAGTGTAGGCCCCTCCCCTAAAGAGAGTTTTCTCCTCTCTTCTGTCCCTTGCAGCCTCTCCCTATTTGCTCACAGCAGGGTAAACCTAGTCTACAGGATTCAGAGAGCACCCCATTCTTATTCCTCACCCTACTTGATGCTTTGTCACAGTTCCCCAGAGATTAGCTTGTAAGAACCCAAAAGGGACTTGGGGCGCATTTTTTATTTGAGGAGCAGTTACCAGCAGTCAGGGCCCTGGGAGGGATGGGGTCTTGAGAAGGTGGAAAAGGAGTTCCTTGTTGCATTAATGGTTTCCTGGAAGGAAGAACTCAGATTTGCTGGTGAATTCCAGGAGATAGAAATTCCTGCTACTACAAGCTTATCAGACAGTTAACCAGATCTCAGGGTACAGACCAGTGTGATATAGTGGGAAAAGGTGAGATTTAGGAAGAAATCACATTTTCTGGCTGTGTGACCTTTGGCAAGAATCCTGAATTTCTGAGCCTGTTTACTCACTGTAAAGGGCAACAGTAATATCTACTCGCAAATTTACTATGTGGAGTATATGAGTTCAGGTATGCTAAGGTGCCTAGCACAGTGCTTGTCAAAAGTAGGGGCCCAGAAAATGTTAGTTTTCTTTTTTTTTCCTTCTAAGGGTCTGAGAATTCAGGAGAAAAATGAGGGCATACCTCTGGTATTTGTAGACAGAGAGGCCCCAGTGGGAGTACCTCCCTTTGGCTGTAGTCCTCAACCTGGCAGCCAGACGTTTGTCTTCCCCAACTCCATCAGCAAACCCAGGCTCTGCAGATGCCCTCGGTATCCCTGGTGTCTGTAGGGCTGGGGCTGAGGTTGGAACCCAGGTCCCCTCTTCTCTCCCTGCCTCACTTTGTTGACCCTGTTGGTCAACATAAAATCTCTGGTGTCTGAAAGTGTGGATGTTTCCTGCTTTATATTGTGGTTCCAAAAAGCCAAAAGCAAGTCCCTGCCCAAGGCCATAGAGGGGAAGTTATGGGAAGTTTCAGGGTGACCGCCCTGAACTCAGTCTCGTGGTTGAGGGCTAGGAGTCCATGTGCTATCCCAGAGAAGTGAAACAGTAGCACTGACAGCTGCAGTAGAGATGGCGGGGACTCTGGCTTCAGATTAAAGGTCCATTTCAGCCATCCTGGGCCAAAGGTTGTCTCAAGAAGGTCAGTTTTGACAGTTGCTGGAGGCGAGGGGATGGGAAAGAAAGAAGATCAGAGGCTACCCTGCTCAGTTGACTGATAGGTACGTGGCATGGGTATGTAAAATCATAGACTTTTTGAGCTGGAAGGGATCTTAAGAAATTGACGAGCCCAGCACTTATTAAACAGATGAGGAACAGGCCCAGAGAGGAGAATAACTTGCTTAAGATCACACAGCATATTAGTGGCAGAACCAAGACTTTAACCCGGGGTTTCTGACACCCACATCAGGACAGTTTATACTGCCTTCACCATTAATATGGCCTGTGGTCCCAGCAGAAAATCAGGCGCTGAACAGGTAGAACAGAAGGTACCTGGCAAGAACCTGCCTGTCCTCACCTTCCCTGGCTTAGCTCGGCACTTTTGACTCCCTCAGTGGGAGGCTAACAGGGACAGCCCAGCAAGGGTAAGAGTATGTTGTCATTACTAGTTCATGACCCTGATCAGCTTCAGGGCTGGAACTAGGCGTATTCACCTTTCTCTCCTCAGGCCTGCAGAGAAGTAAATGCCCAATTAATATTACTTACTGAATGACATTTACTGACAGACATTTTAAGTAAGAAAGCTGAAAGTGGCCTTAGAGATGACCATCATCATACTGAGGCCTGAGAGAAGTGGAGCCTCACTCCTTCAATCTAGTAGGAGCAAAGTCAGGAATTGAACCCAGAACTCCCAATTCCCAGCTCTAAGCAATTTCCATTTTTCACCTTGTTTGTCTTTTAAACCACCTGTAGGGAAATTTTGGTTGTCCTGAGGTTGTCCCTGTCTGTTCTTGAGCAGTAGCTATTAAGTGTGGAGAGGCAAGAAAACAGCCAGCCAGCAAAGGGCCTAGTGGGTGGCATGGGCACAGACAGGGGTGCTAGTAGTAGTCATTTTCTGGTGTGGCTGGAGTCCCAGCAGGTTGTTGAAGCCTGGGAAGGTCCAGAGGAGGAGAAATAAGTGTCCTTAACAGACAAGTGTAGGAAGAGTGATGTTATCATTCCTGTTATTTTGGGGTAGATGAGCAGACCTGTCTGGGGCATCCCCTCTGCAGCATGGAGGGAAGGGGTCGGGAGAGGAAAGAAGCATGCCAGCTGGTTACCAGATCTCGTGGCCTGAGGGAGATGGCCTAAGAGAGGCGGGTCCCTGACCTCCCTCTCCTTTTACCGTGTGACTGCTAGGACTGGCCTCCTGAGGCTGGACTTCCCACTCAGCTTCAGTCTGCTCGGTGCTGCAGGCCAGATGAAGCGAGCTATGCTGTCTGGGATCCCATGGGTGTTGGCTTCCTGTTAGGGGGGAGAGGGATCTTAGTTGGGCCTAGGGAGAAACATCTGGAATAGCAGTGTAGTCTTCTGATTCAGTTCCTCCCTGGATCCTCTACTACTCCTAGCCAACTATGGCAGCCCTCTGGCTTTGGGAATCATAGAACTGGCTTAACTGACATCCCTGCAGTTTGGTCTGTGCCAGTTTTTGTTGGGGTAGGGCCAGGGCCCTCCTGGCAGGCCAGAGCCTGCCTCCCTGCCTTCCCATCAACTTCCCCAGTTTGGAAGCTCAGAGCAGCCTCTTTTCTTGAGCTGTTACCGCTCCCAGGAGAGCATGGAGTGGCAGTGGAGTGTCACTGGGTGAGCCAGCTGGAAGGCGGCAGCCGTGCATGTGGAGCCCTGGTCTGTGACTCTAGACCATAGGCCTTCCATTTTTTCTCCTCCTTCTCTTCTTCCAGCCTCAAAGAAAAATCCGGTTTGGTGGCCCTGCGGGTGTTCTAGGGCCTCAGACAAGATTTGACTTGGTGACGGAGGGGGTCAGCACACCAGCTGCCACTCTGGGAAGGTGCCTGTGTGTCCGCCTGCTAGGAAATCCTAAGCTGTGGGAAAGAGATAAGGCAGTAGGGCCTGCTTGATGTTTTGTGCTCCCAGCATCTGTGTCTGAAACAGGACCTCCAGAGGGCCAGTAAGGCCTGGCTCTGCTCCAGCCAAATCCAATCTGCTTGCGCTGAGGTGGGAGAAGGAAGGTGCTCTGTGCTCCCTCCTCACCCTCCTCTGGAGTCTGGCTGTCTGTGACATACTGCTTTACTTTTCTAAGCCTCACTTTCTCACATTGAAATGATAATACTGACTTTGCAGTGTTTTTGTGAGGTTTAAATGAGCTGATTATTTATTTGAAAAGAGCCTGGTCTACAACAGGTGCTCAGTGAATGTTCTTCCTCCTCTTAAAGACCGGAGTAGCTAATGGTCTTGTCTTCTCATGTTCTGCTATCCATGTCTGGCTGTGATGATGAGTGTCATGGAGGTCCCTCCCCTGTGGGCAGTGAATCCTAACCAATGGTGAGCCTTCACTTTTCCCTGAGAAGGGCGGTTATTTCCATTCTGTAGAAGAGCACACTGAAGATCTGAGAATACAAGTGCCTAAGGTTTGCCAGCTGGTGAATGGCAGTACTGGGACCAGAACCTGTTTCTCAATGCTGAATCCAGTGACTAAGCCTTGTTAAGGTGGCAGCAAGCAGACTGCCAGGTGCTCACCAGTCCCTAAGGCCCCTGGACCAGAGCAGCATTTAGCAGGAACTTGGCTACCTCCCCATCCCAGCGTGGGAGGGCAAGGCAGGTCTCAGAACAGTGAAAGTTCATAGCCAGCCAGGTCAGAGAAAGACTCAGTGGGAAAGGTCCTGGGGGACACCCTGCAAGCCTGACCACATCAGGCTTGGTCCAGCCCTCCCATATGCCAGAGTCTACACTGCATTGCTCTTGACCCCAAAATACTGCCTAATGGTCATCTGACTTTGGTGCGGGTCTTTTGGAAGAATGTTTCTTTGTAGGTAAGGCAAGGATTATGCTCCCCAAACAGGTGAGGAATCTGAGGCTTGGAGAAGCCTCATAGTCAGTTAACAATGGAGCCAGATTAGGGAGGGATCCCAGATCTTTGGCTCTCAGCTCATTGCTACCCCAGCCACATGGCACTGCTCCTTCTGTTCCTCCCTCGAAGACAACTGAGCCTCCATGCCAGGATGCATTGCCCACCAGGGCAGAACCAGTCATCATCTACTCATGTTCAGTGCCTTAACTGATCACTTTCTTTGTGCTACAGGCAGCACACCTGAGGGGAAGGAGGCCTCCTTTAGTTGCTTTTACTGCTCCTGGCAATCCGCAGCTATCCTAGACCCAGGGAACCCCCCAGTAGGTAGAAAACGTCCTGGCTGCATCACTGGCAAACCATTGTTCCTGATGCTTCACCATCCTGTCCAGGATTTCAGGGAAGCTGCCAACTGTGGTGTTCTTTATGTCATCTTTCTCTTTCCCTTTTCCACCCCACCCTACTCCATTCCGTGCCCTGTCCAGCTGCTCAGGAGCTGTCACAGCTTAGCTCCTTGCTGCTCTTCAGGCATGGAAATAGGCAGCAGGTTCAGGAGCCTGGGAGAGAAAGCCAAGGCTTACTTTCGCCAGCTTATCCATTTTATCAGTGAGCTTTTTTACAAAACATGTATTGAGCACCTTCTTCTCCAGCCCCTGTGACTGAGACAAGGGATACAGAACTGAACCAGAGGTCTGGGTCTTGTTGCCTTTAAGAGGTTCATGGATTGGTTGAAAATAGTGCCACAAATAAATCATTACAGTGTTGACTGATAAGGATTAAACTGAGGTGTATGGTTGTTCTGGGAATATCTAGGAAGAAGCATCTAACTCCACCTATAGGAGCCCAGAAGGAAGCAGCAGCACTTGGTCCAGGCC